GTCCGTTTCCTCGCGACCGGCTCGGGCACGACAGCATCCTCACGGTTGTGGACCGATTGAGTAAGTACGCGCRTTTTCTCCCTTGCAAGTACTACTCCACGGCTCCCGAGCTGGCACGCCTCCTGCACACTGGTTGGATTTGTGGCCACAGTGTACCAGAAGACATTGTCAGCGACCGCGACACTCGTTTGATGTCGGCGTTTTGGACTGCTCTCATGCATCCTCAGTTCGGCACAACAATGAAACCAAGTTCGGCTCGACATCCTCAGACAGACGGGCAGACGGAGCGGGCACATCAAACCGCTCAAATGATGCTTCGTACGCTCATTCGTCCGGACCAGAAAGATTGGGTTGACTGCCTCCCCGACATCGAGTTCGCCTACAACACTTCAGTGCACCCGGCGATTGGCGTGACTCCATTCGAGTTGCACCACAGTGGACGGAAAGGCCGCATCTTTGCCGACCCTCTCCTCCCTCGAGCAGCCGACATTGACGCCGCTTGCTCCCCCGCTTCCGTTCGGAAGTACAGGGACTTGCTGACTCAAGCCCGCGCAAATATGCAAAAGGCTCAAGTTCGCATGCAGCAGCAAGCCAACAGGCGTCGCGTACCATGTCCCATCCGCGCCGGTGATCTGGTTTGGGTCTCTACGGAAGAGTTTGCACTGGAACAGGATGTTTCACGCAAACTGCTTCCCAAGTGGTTTGGACCTTGGTCTGTGACAGCAGCCGCGGGCGATGAGCCCGATGACCCTTCATTTGTGATCAACATTCCAGAGCATCTGACGGTCCATCCGGTGTTCCACGCCTCGAAGCTGGCAACATACACGCCAGCCAAGAGCGACGACTTTCCGGGCCGACGATCGCAGGACCCTCCTTCTATAGATGGCCATCAGGAAGTTGACCGCGTCATCACCGATCGCAAGTACGGCAGCAAGCCGCGGCAGTACAAAGTCACATTCAAAGCATGCGATCGCGACAACACTCGGTGGATTTCAGGAGCAGATTTGAAAGCATCAGCACCGCTGATCTACACTCACTATGAACGTCAAAGGTTAGCCAAGGGACCTCCACGACCTGCCCCTCCCACCCGGACTGTGGTCCCTCCCTAAGACAGACAACTTCGCCCTCGCAGGTAAGCTCGGTTTTTCAAGGAGGGGGGGGTGTGGCATACTGCGTAGCCACACGGGCCCTGCAGGGCCCGTCCCGGACATTCAGCCTAAAAGCCTAAGACTTAGGGCTCGCGCTGCAGTAGTCTTCAGCGCTAGGCAGTAGTAGTAGCGCTAGTTGTAGTCATCAGCGCTGGGCGCTAGTAGGAGGTAGAGCGTAGAGTTGGGAGAGGTACTGGCGGAGGCCAGTGGTACTTACCTATGGCGCCATCGCTCCAGCTCCATCTTCGAGGTACCTGCATCAAGGCGCCAACTTCACAGCTGAGTACTGGACAGAGAGAGAGAGAGAGAGAGTTCTTCCTCTTCTTCTAAGTCCACCATCTTCCCCTGTCACCACCTGACTTCTCACTATCCGCGGACTACTACAGAGAGAGAGAGAGAGTTGTGACATGAGACTTGACGACATTGGATCCAGACTCGACATTGGGATTCAGACATGTTGACGAGGGACTATTTGGGCCTGTGCTGAACACTTGGTGTTGAAGACATTCCCATCTTCCCTCCTTCTTCGTCTAACCCCACCTCCTTCGTTTGTGTATGGTTGGGGCTGGCGCAGTCTTCTTGTGTGAAGCGCTAGACCCCTTCACACCATGAGGATGATGACGTATGTTATGGGCTGCATTACAATATTGATTGTTTGGAGCATTGGTATCTAAGTCTTCCGCTGTGCTATCTTATACTTGTATTGAAAGGTCGGTTCTTGTTCTGGTCTGCACCTATACGGTATGCAACAAGCGCCCAGGTGGTTGTGGTTTTGGTTGTTGTTGTGGTTGTTGCTGTTGTCGTTGTTGTTGTGCAGGTCGACAGCGTGGATCACGGCTATGGCGCCCAGGTAACAGACGCAGGTATGACCTCCGCCCCTCTTCTTTTTCTTCTTCTTCTTCTTCTTCTTCTTCTTCTTCTTCTTCTTCTTCTTATTCTTATTCTTTTTCTTCTTCTTCTTCTTCTTGTCTTTCTTCTTCTTCTTCTTGTGGTTCTGGTTCTGGTTGTTGTTGTGGCTGTTGCTTTTGTTCTTCTTGTTGGTGTTGTGCAGGTCGACAGCGTGGAGGACGGCTATGGCGCCCAGGTGGTTGTGGTTCTGGTYGTTGTGGTTCTGGTTGTTGTGGTTCTGGTTGTTGTGGTTCTGGTTGTTGTTGTGGTTGTTGCTGTTGTCGTTGTTGTTGTGCAGGTCGACAGCGTGGATCATGGCTATGGCACCCAGGTAAGTGACGCAGGTATGGCCTCCGCCCCTCTTCTTCTTCTTCTTTTTTTTCTTCTTCTTCTTCTTCTTCTTTTTCTTCTTCTTTTTCTTGTGGTTCTGGTTCTGGTTGTTGTTGTGGTTATTGCTGTTGTTGTTCTTGTTCGTGTTGTGCAGGTCGACAGCATGGAGCACGGCTATGGCGCCCACTTGGTTGTGTTTCTGGTTGTGGTTCTGGTTGTTGTTGTGGTTGTTGTTGTGGTTGTTGTTGTGGTTGTTGTTGTTGTTGTTGTTATTGTGCAGGTCGACAACGTGGATCACGGCTATGGCACGCAGGTAAGCGACGCAGGTATGGCCTCCGCCACTCTTCTTCTTGTTCTTCTTCTTCTTCTTCTTCTTCTTCTTCTTCTTCGTCTTCTTCTTCTGCCTTCCTCTTCTTCTTCTTCGTCTTCTTCTTTATTCTTCTTCTTCTTCTTCTTCTTCTTCTACTTCTCCTTCTTCTTCTTCTTCTTTCGACAGCGTGGATCACGGCTATGGCGCCCTGGTAAGTGACGCAGGTATGGCCTCCGCCCCTCTTCTTCTTCTTCTTCTTCTTGTTCTTCTTCTTGTGGTTGTGGTTCTGGCTATTGTTGTGGTCGTTGCTGTTGTTGTTGTTGTGCAGGTCGACAGTGTGGCGCACGGCTATGGCGCCCCGGTGGTTGTGGTTGTGGTTCAAGTTGTTGTTGTGGTTGTTGCTGTTGTTGTTGTTGTTGTTGTTGTTGTTGTTGTTGTTGTTGTGCAGGTCGACAGCATGGAGCACAGCAATGGCGCCCAAGTAAGTACCGCTGACGCAGGTATGGCTTCCGCCCCTCTTCTTCTTCTTCTTCTTCTTCTTCTTCTTCTTTTGGTTCTGGTTCTGGTTGTTGTTGTGGTTGTTGATGTTGTTGTTCTTGTTGGTGTTGTGCAGGTCGACAGCGTGGTGCACGGCTATGGCGCACAGGTCGTTGTGGTTCTGGTTGTTGTTGTGGTTGTTGCTGTTGTTGTTTTTGTTGTGCAGGTCGAAAGCGTGGATCATGACTAAGGCGCCCAGGCAAGTGACGCAGGTATGGCCTCCGCCCCTCTTCTTCTGCTGCTTCTTCTTCTTCATCTTTTTCTTGTTCTTCTTCTTCTTCTTCTTGCGGTTCTGGTTCTCGTTGTTGTTGTAGTTGTTGCTGTTGTTGCTCTTGTTGGTGTTGTGCAGGCGACAGCGTGGAGCATGGCTATGGCGCCCAAGTGGTTGTGGTTCTAGTTGCTGTTAGGGTTGTTACTGTTGTTGTTGTTGTTGTGCAGGTCGACAGCGTGGATCACGGCTATGGCGCCCAGGTAAGTGACGTAGGTATGGCCTCCGCCCCTCTTCTTCTTCTTCTTCTTCTTCTTCTTCTTCTTCTTCTTCTCCTTCTTCTTCTTCTTCTTGTGGTTGTGTAGAAGCACCACCGCTGGATCTGTTATCTTAGCGGGAATTCTCTTAAAATTGGGAACTTGTGGTTTGTTAAGATTTTCTGGAGATGAATTCAATTTTGGAGTAGAAAATGGAGAAGTGTTTGGTGAACCAAAAATGAATATGCCTAAAGAAATAAAAAGGATATGCAATTGCAGGTCATATAGTCTCCTCCTTCTTCTTCTTCTTCTTCTTCTTCTTCATCTTCTTCTTCCTTCTTCGTCCTTCTCCTTCTTCTTCTTCTTCTTCTTGTGGTTGTGTAGAAGCACCCACCGCTAGATCTGTTATCTTAGCAGGAATTCTCTCAAAATAGGGAACTTGTGGTTTTTTAAGATTTTGAGGAGATGAATTCAATTTTGGAGTAGAAAATGTAGAAGTGTTTGGTTAACCAAAAATGATTATGCCTAAACAAATAAAAAGGATATGCAATTGCAGGTCATATAGCCTCCTTCTTCTTCTTCTTCTTCTTGTTCTTCTTCTTCTTCTTATTCTTCTTCTTTTTCAACCTTCTTCTTCTTCTTCTTCTTCTTCTTCTTCTTCTTCTTCTTCTTCTCCTTCTCTTTTTTCTTCCTTCTTCTTCCTTCTTCTTCTTCTTCTTCTTCTTCTTCTTCTTCTTCTTCTTCTTGCTGTTGTTGCTCGTGTTGGTGTTGTGCAGGTCGACAGCGTGCAGCATGGCTATGGCGCCGAGGTGGTTGTAGTTCTGGTTGTTGTTGTGGTTGTTGCTGTTGTCGTTGTTGTTGTGCAGGTCGACAGCGTGGATCACGGCTATGGCGCCCAGGTAAGTGACGCAGGTATGACCTCCGCCCCTCTTCTTCTTCTTCTTCT